GTATGTATATATATATATATATATATATAAGCTATTTTGTTATTATTTTCTATTTTACTTATTGCAAGTACAGATTCATCATAACTTTACTAATTGCACATTTAAATTTAATATCTATAACGTCATAAAAATAATTAATAATTGGATTCATCTGATTGCAAGAGATAACGTTTGAATTTGGTTATTGTTAAGTTCAAAGCTACATGATGGATTACCTTTGCTCTGCCCACCACGGGTATCTAAACCAAATTTTAGAATTGTAAGCCTGCAGCTGTACTGTTGAGCAACTGAGAGGCTAATTCTTGAAGCAAACTATAGAAACTATGTATTTTTAACTATACAGTTAGTGAAACATATCAACCATCTAGTGTTTTACAAGCAGAAGAAGCTAATGGAAATGCTTGCTCGTCACAGAAACCTCACGTACAACGTTTTGCAAATCAAATCTGTAAATGGCTACACAAGTTTAAAAAATCATGACAAATCGAAATAAAACAGATCTATTCGAATATCTCATTGAATGTGCCATTCTTATACAACTTAAGTAGAACTATAAATATTAAAATGAATCAATCTAACTTGACGAATCATCAAAACAATGTTAAAAATCATCCTACTCATTTTTTTCCTCCCCAGTTACCAAATGGAACTGGAAAAATACCTACATTAATGTAATATGGAAACAAATCTTTTCTTTAGAAAATGTAAGTTGAGAATTGCATTTTATACAACTGTGAAATGATGTTTCAATTTACTCAGAATAACCAGTAATGAACATCCGATCAGTTTTACTTTTTCTTAGGACCTAGATTCTCGAACTGCAGCTGCTGTAGGACAGAGTAGACTGATGGCATTATATGACGCCATGTTTTCTCAGTACGGAGCCAACGTTGCTCAGGTAAGCCAAAAAAGTGAAATTTGGGTTTAGTTTAGTGATTTAAAATAAACTGTAAATTTCAGTGAATATTTTATATGCATTTGCACTGACAGATAATAGACTAATTGGAAGCAGGTATAGAGTCATGGTATATTACTCGTTTACTTATTACTTTGTGACATTATACTACTCGTTTATTTATATATATGGAAAATGTAACATTTTATTGATAAAAAAATCTCCTTTATCATTTTCTCTTCATCTAAACTAAATTCTTTGGAAGATTAATTGAAGGTACCGTGCTATCCCTGGAACTACCTCCTTCATCGTTGATCATATTCCTTCTAATAATCATAATTATGCTCCATTGCTTTACCCAGCAATTTTTACTGGGTTACTTTCTTTAGTGCTGGTCTATGAAAGTAGCTTGCTTTGATTGGAAGTTTTAAAAAAAAAGACTACTGTGGATTTTGTGTAATACAAATTTCCCTTTATAAAAGAAATCTGAGGCAACCATAAAGCTCAATACTAAACATTCTTTAAAATGTTTGTATAATCGTATTGTCAGTTACAAATTGCCAGTTTCAATAACACCCAATCGTCCAATGTTACAAAAAACTCCCCTCTTTCACGTACAAGGTATTTTTCTTATAGTTCTCAATAACTTATCGTCTCTCACTAACGTGTTTGGGAACATTTGTGATTTATATTTCCTTCCCTGAAAAATATCTTTGTGAATTATATTGTGTACAGTTGTCTGAAATGTGTATAACTTGTCAACTATCAGTTTCTGGGTGAGGAATTTTAGACAATCAATGTGCGAAGCTTGGTAGTAATAATGACTCTACAGTGTTACTTGTAATGGGATGCTCTATGATTCTACATCCTCATATTGGTGTGATAATGTTCCCTTGACAATGTTATTCACTATATCACAGATATTTGTTTATAAAACTGGTGTGACCGAGACTGCATCTCATTGCTATTTTTCTAAATGAACACTCTTTCTCGGACAGGGAAGTGGTATATTGTTAGATCTAGAAGTTTATCCAGGCCAACATTGTATTGTTGAATAGCCGGGAATCTGTCGTGATTCAAAGATGCAAGTGATAAACATGTCGGCCAAGTGTCACGACTCGTAATTTCAACATCGGCGACACACCACCGTACTGCTATATGCAAATTAGTTATATAAAGTACAGTTAATACTTTTGTAATTTTTTGTTTCATATTGAATGAGGATATACATTATACTCCGAAACTGCGAAGTAACATAAGACCACAGAAAAATAATTTAATTTTGCTGGATTTACAAAATAACCTACAGAATTTGTTTTTTCAGGTACTAGTGACAGAACCAGATTTTTACAACACAGAGTTCCGGTTTAACATGAAGTGTACAGTTTTAGAGCTTTTAGGACTAAATATCATTCCAATCATCAACGCCAACGATACTATAGCTCCTCTTGACATCAACAAAGAACTGACAGAAGCTCAAGTGGCACGTGATCTAAAGCTGAAACCCGGAGATAGTGTAAGAAATAGGCCTAGATCATGTTTGTTTGTTTCTTATGGATTTTGCGCAAAGCTGCACGATGGCTATCTGCACTAGCCGTCCCTAATTTAGCAGTGATAAACTAGAGGAAAGGCAGTTAAACACCACCACCCATCGCCAACTCTTGGGCTACTCTTTTACTAACTATTAGTGGGATTGATCGTCATATTATAACGCCCTCACGGCTGAGAAGGCGAGCATGTTTGGTGACGGGGACTCAAATTGCGAATCCAACGCCTTAACCACCAAGCCATGCTAGGCCTCAAATTGATAGGAATGTTTTTTTTTCAAAAAAAACTTGTACAGGTTTACTGCTTCGCGAACTGTATTGGAATATTTCTCGCAACTTATGTGATGATCTTATTTGATAGAAATACCATTTATAAAATTAGTAAGAAATTGCTTTTTATAATGAAACTTAGTGTGTTTTGCAAAAATGTTGACGTAGACATTTCTACTGAAAGCTAAACCAAACTCCTTAGTAAAGAGGCTTATGTAATAAAGGCGTACCTAGCACATGGTTATGGAATGTCATTCCCTTTTTAAATAACGCGGCTATAACATGATCTCGACTCAACTTTGATTCAAGAGGGTATCAAACTTGGAAGGGATATATTATGGATGGTGGGCTTGTTTCATTCTGACATCATTCTCTGATATGCACTACGTATACAGGTGCATATGTAAAATAACATATAATTAGCTTCGTAAGTATGCTAACACTGAATATGTCTAGGTTGATAACGGAAGGCTGCTAAATAACAAGCACATAGACTTGCAATCAGTACAAGTCTAAATATAGTATGTCTACAAATAGTTGAATATGTTACTCTCAATCTCAGGATTCGGCCATTGAACCAAAGAATAGCCGTTTCGTGATTTGAGCATGCCAAAGGTATTAACGACCGAAATGAAATATTATTTTGTTGTTTGTTGAATTGTGCTTGGAGCTATAACAGTTTCTGAGCTGTAATTTGTTTAAAATGTTTTAAACAAAGACCTAAGTAGTCGCCTCATTTTTTTTGTTTCTTTACTTATTTGGTAGTCTACGTTTTGCAATTTGAGCAAAATAATTTGTACAAATACCGAAATAATATTTAATTTTAGTCGTTGATAATTTTGACATGATCAAATCACGAAATGGTAATTCCTTTTGGTAAATGATGGAATCTTGAGATTGAGTGTATAATATGCATTTATTCTCAAATGAAATATCTTTTAAACGAATAATGATGCACTAAAGTATATGTTGTCCTAAAAATAAAATCTTATTGTAACCTGCCCACTTTGGTGTAAACAAAAACTGAAGGTTTTGTCAATAAAAAATACTAAAATAATGATTGTTAAGTAAAAAGATCAGTTTAGGATAATGTGTAAATCAATTCTGTGGCTTTCGTTCAACACCAGTTGCAATAAGTTTATCATGCTAAAGCACAACTAGAAATACAATCAAATGATGGAATAATAAGATCAAAGACAGAGTAATTATAGGCAATAAGAGGAGTTCTCGATAAGCCAACTTGGGTGCTACACTGTTGCTTCAATAACAAAGTTATTGGACACGTATATATGTACATGCTGAGGAACATTTTCTTCGCGCAATTGGTAACTGATGGCCATATTGACACAAGTTTCTCCCAGCAAGATGTGGCACCACACTATTTTGCATTTATGGTTACCTGAACTTTTGGATCGGCCATCCAAAGCTGTTTTCTGGGCGCCATGATGAACTAGAACTGATAAACATTTTGGTTGTGAGAACATATAAATGTCTACGGTTTACTTCCAACGTCCATTTATATGCGTTGATTTTAATTACCATATCAAATAAACATATGACTAAATAGAGTGGATTGCGTGGAACTGTTATTCTGGATGCTGCGTCTTCAAGATCAAACTCATTGCTTGAGGGATACAAGATTGTAGACGGTAAATAAATTGCGTAGTTTTAGAACATGTGATTGTAAACGTGTTTGACAAATGGCGAAGACGCCTATTTCCAAAACAGGAGAAGTCATTTCAAATATTACAAAGCCTGAGACCATCATGCACTTTACCTTGTGTTTCCTTTAGTTGACGTTTAAAAGTCATTGTGTTTTTGAAATGTGTTAAAGTATTTACTAATATCGTGTATGAAAAAAAAATAGCTCAAAAGAACATTTTGTATGCAAATGCTTTTTAACAAGCAATCTCTGACTCAACGGCAACAGAAGTGGTAGATCACTTTATAGGAAATATATCCGACACTTTTTGTTCTGAAAATCAACAAGAATCTATACTATTATTCTCCTTGTCTGTATGTACGATTGTTGCGTTTTTTGACCGAGAACCTACTGCATAAGCATGCGTAGTTTGAATATTTCCCAAAGAAAAACCGCGCATGCGCATTATTCACTCGACGACAAACAGTCTG